TTTTGATAATAAACGTTTTCCAGTTTTAATCTGACGAAAAGAATTAGCCACACAAGTTTTTATCTATGACTCATCGACGACTAAAAAATCAAGAAGGGAAGCACTTTTTTGCCGTTGGCGGGTGGTTCATATACTCTTTTAACAAAAAAGGTATAGTCGACTTCTAGAATATGTTCACTAGTTTAGTTAATGCAATCAATTTACCATACACATTAATCGAGAGCATCAATATATTTGATTAACACCCTAGTGATCTAAGTACTTAATCGCTTGGCGAGTACTTTGAAAAATTGCAATACTTGATTTTATTACTGAAACAATATACTTTATGAAAACAATTGCAGTTTTACTTGACAAGTACTTATCAAGTAATTATAAGAAAATTTACTTTTGGAAAGAAGGCAAACACTAACTTTATTACGTGAGCAAAACACTTGTGTTTGAGTACATTTACTGGAGTACACACTAGACTGTATAATATAGATTTTTATCTATGCATTTTCTTTTCTAGCTTACGTTATTGTATTTTTCAATTGCTTTGAGCATTGTTATTATCAATTAAGTTTAACTATTATTTCAGAATTCTTTTATAGCTAGTGATATGAAGCATGGGTTATTATAATCAACAAGCAACAGCTTAGAACCAAACACTTTTATCCATGACAAAGTGATCCATCATGAAACAAAAGCATTACGATACAATATCAGAATGTATTCTGAACGGGAAATAAACAAATTGAAGAGTGAGATTAGAATATTACTGAAAAAATGTCTGAAAATAGTAAATAATAGAAAAACAGCGAAAATCTTAACAGAACAAGCAATGAAAAAAATGTTTATCAATGGTATGTTATTACAAAGTTTTTGAAAAGAAATCCTTACATTCAGAAGTATAAATGCATCAAAAATAATGGTATAAACAGTTTCTTGGTAGTGAAATTAATAATAGTACTTAATCTTCTGTGGTAATCAACGCTTGCGTTTACTTTTCTTATAAAATTTATTGCTGAAAGATATGAGGGCTTGTTTTCACTTTCAACTGTACCATTCAATACTTTCTACTTATATCATACATAGCTTATGTCTTGTGGTACGACTCTCGCTTCAGCGTGGATAAATTCAACTATTATTCATGTCAAGGCTAGTGTAACTTCCACCATGCAACCGACTCAATGACAGTCAAGACTAGTTTTACGGTGATGTGTAGGATGGTGAATTAGATAGATAGTTTAAAGAACATAAAGATTCATGTAGATTTCTCGTGTAAGACTGATGTTGAGTGATAAATGTGCTTTTTAATTTCCTTTGTAAAACTTCAGTTTAATCTAATTTCAAGACCATGAGAACGATTAATAACAGAGACAATTAACGTTGTTAGAGAGTGATTTTACGAATCTAGTAATTGTGATTTGAGTTATTTATTCTGAAACGTCGAAAATTCGATCATAGCTCTATATATCTGCCATAAAATAATAATTGTAAATATTTATAAATTTGTATCTGATCTTTCATACAGTTTTAAAATATGTATACCTTCAAACTAGATTTCTTTCTTTCTTTCTTTTTTTGTTGACCATTAGAAAGCTGATTTTTCTTTTGTTGTTAGTATAAAGAGTATAAGTAAGCAGAACAACAGTGCAGTGGTGGTCTTCTTCGAGAACTAGAACAAAAAAAAAGTCGTGTCCAACAGTTTGTATTTGTTGGATATATATTTATGTAGGGAAAAAAAAAGAAACTTCGTCGTCATCATTTGTAATGTCGAGCAAGAGAGAGAGTATGTTAGTGAATGGAAAAATTTGGATATATTGCAATTACGAAAGTATATAAGCGTTATACATTAATAACGTAATCAATTTTAGCGGGTCAATCATACAATCGAAATTTTTCTTTCACGAATCAATACAAAAAGAAGATTTTAAAGTTTTTTCTGGTTAACTATGGTAGCCGAAAAATCTGGAAAAATATGATTTCTTTTATCTATATAAATAACTCATCCACAGGATGCTTGTTGATGATGCGTTTCAATTTCTTCATTTGCGACCAATTACAAGATGGAAGAAAAACAACTGAACAAACTTTCAATGTGTCCTCTATTTACAATTTGCTCGACTTGCTATCATCTGATGTTGTGAACGACTTTACTTTAGAATAATAGTGTTTTCTGTTGTAATCCTTTCTCGTTCTGATGTTATGTAAAACAGTCTTATTATGCAAAAATAATTGACAGTAATTCGAGATGTTATATTTCTCATTTTATGTGAAAAAAAACTTTTAAAATTAACAGAAATAGAAAAAAAATCGTTAGGTTTTTAGAAAATTAATCACAAGATTTGTGAATAATGCTATACCATATACTCTATCTATTTTTTTTTCTACAAGGACAATTTAGGTGAACATACAACGAACACCGACGACGTCTGAGAGTGCAGAGAAAAAGATGAAAACAGAATGAACGAGTGTATTTGATCAACAACAGTACATTATGTGAACCTAACATCAAAAGTAAAAAACGAGAAAGAAGAGGTAATTCAACTAATAAAGCACTTTTTTTCTTCTTCTTGTTATTGCGCGTACATATTGCTGGTCATCTCTTTTGCCGTTTCTTATAAAACAGAACAACATACATACACATATAACATCGTATTCTACAGTATAATTGTGAAATTGTCTTCTACTAATCTAGAACATGTGTTATGTGTGTGATACAAATTAGTTCAAATACATACTATACACTCTCACACACACATACACATACAAAAAAGAATGATGATAATCGATTTTTTTTTGTTAACTTTTTAAGTAAAAGAAAAATAATATAATTTTTTTATCAGTTCTGTCGGTATAGAATTGTCTTTTTTTTTGTTGTTTAAAAATTTTGGTATAAATAAGTAACGATAGAAATATATCAACGATAAATAATATATTGGTAAGTTAAAAGAATGTAATATTCAGACGTTGCTAAGCCGTTGAAATTTGATTATGGTTAATGCTCAGTTGCAATACATTGTGAAAGTTAACACTAATTATACTATAGATTTTCGAGTAAGATGATAGACGTATGTTTATTAATTATTCTTAGTTTGAGACTAGTTCTGCCAAAAATCTAATTATATCAACATGTATTCATCAAGATGGACTTATGATTTATTCTTTTTGTTAAAAGAAGAATAGACTGTTCATTCTGACTTTTATAAATTTTCTTTTCTTTTCAAAGTTTGAAAAAAGAAAAAGAATAGAATTCAAATGTTCAAAAACACACATTATTGATCATGTCATTATTATACACGAACTACGTATAGTGAGTTGTTTTAGTGAAAAAATGAACAAACGAACCTAGTAGTAGTAAATTCAAATGAAGAACAACGCGAGTTTTTTTTTTTTTTTATTTGTTGAACATGTTCTTTCTTTATTACCTCGAATTTTTCGTCCAAAAAGAGAGAAGAGAAAAAGATTAGTGAGTAGAGAGCCATATTGTTGTTGTTGTTGTACCATTATCGGGAAGAAGAAGAAGAACAGGAGAGGAAAAAATTATAATAATTCACTTTTTTTTTTCTTCTCTTCTTTGTGAAGGCTTCAATCAAACCAAAGAACTTTATAACGTTAAAATTGTGTGAGATAAATATCAAACTGAATTTCATGCACAATACGACGGTGTGTAATATTTTTTTCTGCATTTTGTTGAACTGGTATATAATTGGATGATAAAATATTGAAGAATATTTAACAATTTTATTAATCTTTAGAGAATGTACCATATTTATTATTTAATTAGAAGGTTTTCCACTAGAGTAGTAGTATGATGATCATATAGATTTCTCGCTACAATTTTATTTAGCATATTGAAATTCTGTACATGTTTTTTGATGTTTTTTCTATGAATTAACAAGTGAGAGATGCTGACAAAGGAAAAAAGCTTCTTTTTTTTTTGACATTGACCTCCTCAAACTCTGAGCTAAATCAAATCAATAATTTATTTTTCAATCTACAGAATGAGAAAATGACGATCTTTTTTATTTATGCATAGACACGAACGCAGAAGAAAAATAAAAAGAGATTGATTTGTTACATTAATAAATAAATAAATAGATATACAATAAAAAGAAAACTACAAAGGCAAGAATAAGTGTTACATTGTTGATGTTCAGTAATTAATAGCTCATCGAGTGATGTTTCTAGAAATAAAAAGTCTCTCGTAAAATTCAGTTTTTTACTATTTTATTTATGAAAACGAGAGAATGCTGACAAACAATAGAAGTTCTGAAAACGTGAGCTATTTCTTTATACACACGTTCCGTTTTATTAGCTAGGACGAAGTCCGATCCATTTTTGTTTTAGAAAGATATGCTCGGTACTTAACTTCGTTTTTTTGTGGAAAAAATCGGCGTTATTGACATTAACGTGCATTTGATCTTCTTTAGAGTCCAAGCAAAACGAAGCGAAAACTAGAGGAATATCAACAAGAATTAAGCGAAATTGAAAAAGATCATTTTTGTACATTTGACATAGATCATGATCGAGTATCATTTTCAAAATCGCTTCGCTTATCATCTCAATCTCCACTTTATACATGCCACCAACAATCACAATCATCTCCAATTGATTCAAATATGAATTTGGAACAAAACCAGCAAAACTTGGCTAAATCACCGCCACCACCATTAGAAACTACGCTTCCACCTAATTTTCAAACAAAAATTGTTCAAGAATTTAACATACAACAAACAAACAGTAGTGATATTACTGTTAGTTCAACAATCAATATTAAATCATATTCTAATGATACAACGACAAAAGAATCACAATCATCAGCTACAATAACAGCCAATGATTTATTAAGTGAAGCTGATTTTGACCGAGTTATCAAGGACATAACACCAGCTGATAGAAATTTATTTGATGAATTTTTAATTGTGGGTAGTACAACAACAACAGCAACATTGTATTCGACAAAAAAATCAGATGAAGAAGATTTATTTATTAGCAACGATAAAGATTTATATCAATTAGTTGAAAATGATTTCACTAATAATGATCAAACGACAACCTATTTTCCTAGTCATGATCTATTGTCGTGCAATGGTATTCCTTATGTACATCATAATATGTCAGATAAAAGAAGAAATTCGATATCATCAACAATACAACAGCAACATATTACAAAAAGTACAATACATTATCCACCTCAAAATATGTGCAATACATATTCATCTTCTTCATTTTTGTGCAATGATTCTAAAACTAATAATCGTCATTTAACACAACCACCACTTTCTGGACCAGCAGCGACCACACTCAAAAAAATGGCCGTACAGCATCAACAACGACTTCATCATGGAGTTTATTTACCTACTGCACCGTATCATCCTATGACTCAAGGTCAAACCTATCAGCAACAACAACAGTGCATAACAACAGTTGATAACAGTTTTGATTCAGTAAGTTATATCTTTTTATATTTTCGATACAATCGATTTGTTATATATATCAGACTGCACTAGTCTATCAGTATGTTGTTCGATTAATATGTTAAAACTCTTTTTTCACTTGTTATTTAGAGTGTCTGTAATTCTCAATTGAGACAAGGAACAAATTTTGATCAACTACCACAAACATCGCAGCCTCGTTCGTATAATAAAAAATACGTGAATGTTTCTACCGATGGAACAATGCAATCGTACGGAAATCCGTGTATACCACAACAGCCTATCAATCTTCGTTCGTCAAATTCATTTTCATCTTCATACATGATGGACCCAAATGCCTTTTACCATCAGCAACAACAACAGCACCAACAAATGATTGGCTCATCACTGTATTCAAATTATGCACCACAAATGCCGTATAATAATAACACCACCGAAATGTCTGTGAGACAACAGATTCCACCATCCACCACATCTACAAACACTAATCAATCCTATCGGCCTTGTCCAACAGTGTAGCTTTCTTTTGTTTTTTTTGTTATTATTTTACATCTTTAAATCTTCTCTATGTCAGATCTAACAGATATTTGTGAACAAAGTCTTTGTTTCTTTTTCAAACTCATATTTTTTTTGAGCTTTTCTTTACTTTTATGAATGACTAGAACAAGAATATTTTAAAATTGCTCAGGTTTTTACTAAACACTTGTGAATGTCACACTCTCTGTTTGTATCATTTTACATGTTCAGATATTTTTCTTGTTGTGTATAATTTTAACGTGTAAATATTTTTAAGTTTATTTCTTATTGTCGAACAGTTTTTGATGCATGCATATTTTGTCTTCTTGTGCGCAGTATATAATTTGGGCGTTTTCTTTTTAGTATTGTCTTGTTGTATGCAATATATTTCACAGTTGGTGCTAGGGGTTAGAAAGAAATAATATCTCTACTTTTATTATATGAAACAATCTTATTCTTGTCATTGCATTAAAAATCATATAATAATATTATTCAAAGATTTTGCCATTTATTCATATCAAAAGAGAGCGGAAAGTTCTATCATTTATTTAACGTATTAAAACGAAGTAACAGTAGAGAGTAAGAAAGCGTATCGGTGAAATAGTCATATACTACTAAGAAATATAATGGCTAATGTGTTACGGAGTGTTAAGAGAACGTTGAGCTCCTATCTTGAAACTCGCTTGAAGAGAAGAATCTATAAACGGAAAAAGTAGTAGTAACGAGGAAAAAAATGGTATCATGGTGAAAAACAAGGTTGAAAATAGGTTTAAACTTGGAATTTAACACTATCATACCGAACCGGAGAAGATACGCAATATGCTGAAATATACCAGAAATACTACAAATCGCTTTTCTCTTTGAGAGCTTTATTTTTATCCCAAATGTGTCCGTTTTGCTCTTATCCGATAGTCTGTTAAAAATTTGTTCATATAAGTAATTCATGAAAAAACCCATTGTCTGTTTAGAACAATATAAGCTCGTACAAACAAATATGAGAAGTATAGAAATGTGTGCTAGATCAAAGTGAGCACTAATTTCCTTAGCCGCAGTAGAAACAGATTTAACTGTGATAATCTTCAGTCATTTATTACTTGT